AAGGCTCAGCTTTGATGGAACATCCGTCCTAAAGATCCCCTTACCTCCCCCTATGCTGCATTCCTAGCTTCTATCGTCTCTACTGGAAACAACAAACGAGACAGATATTTGCACGTTCCCACCGAAGCGTGATGCGGGGTGCTAGCTCTAGGTAGGAGGGACTGACTCAGCCTGTGCTTCCACTACCAGTTCAGAGCGATGCCGCAAACTCTCTCCACATGCATGTATCATATTGGGGCCAGCAGGTGGCATAGCGATTAAGGTACAGGACTCCTGCATGGCCAATCACAGTTCACGCCCCAGACCCAGCACCTTGAAAATCATGCTGGGTGCATGTGTGCGTGTGCCCAAAATCCTAGGAGGAGAATGGAGAAGGCATTGCAGCGTGGCCATCCCCACTGGGGGTGGGGGAGGGGCAGATTGGGAGTTGATTGCTTATTTTCCCTCTCCCTGTCTCTCTCTTCCATCTTACTGTCTTCATTTCTCTCCAGCAAGTGCATACTCCCTATGGCCAAAAAAAAAGATCAAAGCTCACTGCTGTCTGATGAGCTCGACCACAGGAAATGAACCCTGATCAGGAGGACAGCGGAAACGTGTTCTGTGACTCCCGTAGATGGCAGCAGCTCCGGTATCTCAGTTCAGGGAGAAAACGGAGCAGTCTGTATTGAAGAGAAGTGCATTCGGCAGACTCCAGAAGCATCGTGCCTCTGTCAGTGGCGCCAGCCAGGAGTCATTACACAGACACACACACACACACACACACACACACGCCTAACTGAGCAGCAGAAGCTCCTAGCCCTGGGGGAGACGTTTAAGCTCCACAATCATCCTGATTGTAGGGTACGATGCACCAGAATTGTGCATGTTCATTCTATATGTATTTCCTGGTTGTGTGGAGATCATGGGATATATCACACACACATACACACACACACACACACACATACATACGTGTGTGTGTATGTGTATATGTTTTTTCATCTCTGGGGGTTGGCTGTTTAGCCCTAGAAGATACATGACTGATCCAAAGTTTTGGGGAAATTCTTTGAAGAATTCTATGGACAGTTAGGGCTGGTAAGTTGTCACGGTAGTTAAGGAGCTAGACTCTCACGTGGTTGACCACGGGTTGAGTCCTGGACCTGGTGGCTTGCTTTCTCACTTTCCCTCTCTCTCTCTCTTTCTCTTTTTGGGTAAAAAAAAAAAAAAAAAAAAGAAGGGCCAGCAGGTGGCATAGTGGTTACATTGTTGGACTCCCACATGCTGACTGTGGTTCAAGTCCCAGACCCGGTGGCTTGAAACTCATGCTGGGACGTGTATGTTTGTGCCCAAGACCCTGGGAGAATTGAGAAGGAATTGTGATGTGGCCATCCCTCCTAGGCGTGATTTCTCATTGTCTCTATCACTGTCTCTCTCTCTGGCAAGTGCGAGCACTCTAAGGGAAAAAAAAAAATCTTAAAAATGATGATGAATAAAATTTAATAATAAAAAAAGAACTCCATGGACAGTGGCCCCCATTCCCCATTGAATCTCCCCTGGGACTGATGAATGGAGAAACTGCTCTCTGGAAATGAGTGACAGGGTGCTCGGCACCCACAGAACCGCTGCCCGGGCTACTGTCGGATTGTAGGGGAAGTGTGTTGAGAGGTGCCTTAGCCAGCCCCTGACCTCACTGACAGTCTCTGACTCTGAGGGCAGCCCCACCTCGGGAGCAGGGACAGAAGAGTTCTGTTCTGTGCGTCAGGCAGGGATCACACGGAGCAGCTGTTCTCGGGACTCCTACAGAGACTGCTTTGAAGAGAAAGCACTCCACCCAGGATATGCGTCTGAGAGTGACCGGGCCCCTCTGGGAACCCAGGGAAGACCCTTGTTCTTGTGAACGATCTTCCGACATGTGACTACTTCAGAAAGTTCCGGAGCTCTGTAGTCCTTTCGATGTAAGCGTCAGTTACGTTTGAAGTATAGAGTTGGAAGTGATCACAGAGGTTGTTTGGGGGCCGGGCCTGGGGCCTCGTGGTTAAGGGAGCTGGATCCCACATGGCCGGCCTGGGCTCAGGTTCCAGTCCCATGGCTTGAAAAACATGCTGGGTGCAGTGTGTGTGCTTGTCCGACCGTCCAACAGGAGGGGGAAATAGAGAAGGACTCCCAGGGTGACCATTCCTCATAGGGGATACTTTCTCACTTTTCCCCTTTCTCTCTCTCTCTGGAAAGTGCACACGCCCTATGGCAAAAATTTAAGAAACAAGCCGAACCACCTTCTATATAATTGCTGCTTTCTTTTTGAAAGACTTCTGATCGGAGAAGGTACTTTTGTTCAAGTTAATATAGCGCCATCTGCTGCTGAAAAGGCGCACGCGTACCCGGGAGTGGTCTGGGACAGATCCTCTGATGTGTAAACCCTGCCTTGTACAAGAATTGAAAGGGAATTGCTTGCTATGTGGTTTCTTGCAGGACCCTCTTGTGTCAGAACTGGATACAGTTGTGTTTTTTAAAAAAGACTGTGAGTGAACTTCTGGCTCCAGAGTACATTCGAATAACTCCTCCACCTGTTAGAAATTTCTTGCGAAATTCAAAGACTATCCAAATAGGCAGAAATGCATGTCAGAACAGAAAACCCTGGAAAGGGGCCAACACATTGTGGAACCCACTTTCTGCATGACAGTGCAGGTGAGACTGGATCGAGGGGAGGGCTTATTAGCCCTGGGTCGACCACATGGGAGGGGAGAGAGTGGGACAGATGCCACCAGCACCCCCAGGACCCCCAGTACCTCCCTGCAATGGGGGCGAAGGGCGGAGAGGGCGCTGTTATAGGCAGCCAGTAGAGGTTGAGGTCTGTCTTGCTTCCTCTCCGGGAGATGCACGAGGTGCCGGAGATGGCGTTTACATGACACGTGCAATAACCAGGCACCGCCAAGCCTGGCATCTTAGAAAGGTAGTCGTGTCAGCTGGAAAAGAATGCCAGGAGAGCACTAGTTCCTAGAAAGCATTGAAGTCACCTGCAGTTTCTGGGTTGAACTGCAATATCCAGAAATTCCACAGTATACTCAGTCATTCAAAGGAGACAACACAGAAAGACATTCTCAGACGCGCAGATATTAGAGAGCTTGTTATCCACACAGCTTTCCTGTGAGAAAACACACATACAGGGAACAAGCAGATGGCATGACGGTTACGTTGCTGGACTCTTACATGGTTAACTGCGGTTTGAGTCCCGGACCCGGTGACTTGAAACTCACGCCAGGCGCGTGTGCGTGCATGCCCAAGATCCCAAGAGGAGAATGGAGGAGAAGGGATTGCGGCTTGGCCATTCCCCCTGGGGGCGGTGATTACTCACTTTCTGTCTCTCTGGCAAGTGCATAAACCCTATAGCAAAAATCTTTCTTAAAAAAAAGCACACATACAAACACACGCACGCACGCATTCACACACTCGAGGATTACCGTAGTGAGTAATAAAACCAATGTAACTCGAGAGTTAAGATTACTGTGGCTAATGAAGTTATGAATTAGAGTAACGATGTAAGTTCTATAGACGATATAGTTATGTAGAGACAGTCTCAGGGAAAGTAAAATACCATCATCCTCACTGTCAAATCTGGCCCTTGCCCCTCTGTCTCTAAAACCTCAGTGAGGAGAGGGAAGAGAGTGAAAGCTGTCCTCGATGTTCTCTTACACGAGGAAGAATCCTGTGTCTCCTCTTTCATTACTGACTGTCAGGAAGATAAATCTACATATGCTTAATAAATACACTGCTGTAAACGGGATACTAATAAAAATTTCCCAGGTGTTAGTATTACGAAAGGAAGAAAGGAAATCTGATCTGTATGGCAAGGTAGAAAAAGCATAAGAGAGACAATAAGAAAAGGTGAGGGTATTGGTTTTTTAAATCTTAAATCTCTGCAGATGGAAATCAGGAATATACTAAAATCATAATACTTTAAGAATGCCTAGATGGGTCAAGATTTTTAAATCTATTTTTTTCTTTCTTTATTGAATTTGCCAGAAGGTATGTGCATTTGCTGGAGTGAGAGAGAGAAGCAGAGAGATAGGGAGAGGAGAAAGCACCCTCCCCCCCCATGGGGCATGGTCATGCCAGAGTCCCTTCTCCGCCATTTCTCCACCCTGTTGGATTTGGGGCATGTATTCAAATGTGCCCGGCATGTTTTTAAAACTGCTGGGGCCGGGATTTGAACCACGTGGTTGGCCATGTGGGATTTGGCTACTTTAACTCAGGTCATGGAACTGGCCCCTACAAGTGTATTTATATGCCATTCATTCGACACGTTTTCGTAAGTGCCCACTGTGTCCTAGGACGGTGTAGTTATCACTGTTTCTCGGTTTTCCTGCTCACGTCTCTCTCCACGTCTGTTCTTCATGGCACGCGATCATTTTCTATAATTGCCTTTAACCTTGATTTGTTTGCTGTTGGTCTTCCCTCGCTAAATCACCACCTCTTCAGGGCCAGTGGCCCTGTTTATCTTGTTCATCCCCATTAGCTAGTAAAGACCTTGACGCCTGATCATTATTTATTGCCTGAGTCCAGTATTTACGTAAAGTCTACCAGTCAGTATTTTTTAAAGAATTATTTATTTTGCACTTTATTTACTCATTCATTTATTTCTTTTTTGAATTTTGACCAGAGAGAAACACACACACAGAGAGAGAGAGAGAGAGAGAGAGAGAGAGAGAGAGAGAAAGCTAGAAAGCAAGCCACCAGGTCTGGGTCTCGAACCCTGGTCAGCCATGTGGGAGTGTCCAGAGCCTTAACTGCCACACCACCTGCTGGCCCCCCATTCAGTATTTTTAATTCAGTGAACGAATATATGTCTACAAATGAGAGAATGACCGTGATTCTAACTCCCTGCCCTTATAATGCCTACCATTTATTGGTGAAGACGGATAATCCAAGAAGTACTTCCATGGTTGATATCAAAATCCGGTTTTTACCAAGCACATTTTTCTACCAACTAACCTGGGAATAAAATAAGGGGAATTGTTTTGCAGGAATCCTCCACAACTTCTTCTCGGGAAAAGCCTGGAAAACCAGAGACACAAAGCAATACCTTCCTGTTTCCTAAGGCCTGCCACCAACGGACGCGCAGTAACTCAACCAGTAAGTGTCTCGTTAGAATGTCTCCAGTATATCAAGGCTCAGCTGTTCCTGAGTGTCAGGACTGGTGGGAACGGGGCGTTGGGATGGAGGGCTCTCTTCTGGCCTAGTTAGACGAAACCAAGATGGCGGCTTCGTGTGTGTGTGTGTGTGTGTGTGTGTGTGTGTGTGTGTCCTGATCCGTGAGGGGGCTTCACCCCGGCCATCAGTACTCTCTGTGGTCTGACTCCTCCTCAGCTGAGCTCCAGGAGCCAGCACGGGAAGACCTGGACACAGAGGGTAAGAGATAAGGGTTTTATTCCTACTCTGACTTTGGATGTGCCCCTCCCTATGGGGTCAGACCTTCTCTCTTCTCCGGGTTTGTCACCTTGTCTGTAATATCATGGGGTAGAGGAGGGAAGCATGAGTCTTGGTTGTTGCAAAAAAAGATAGTGTCGCTACAAAGTCGGGAAAATCTAAAGGCTGCCGAAAAGCATTAAGAAATGAAAAGTACGCCAAATGGTAATATTATAATCTGTGTTAGTGTTTTCAGTAATTCCCCTTTTACGCCTATTCAATATTACACATATATACCATGCATACACACACTATGTATGTCTATTTTATATTTCATCGTGTGTGTGTGTGTATATATATATATATATTCTCATGTATGTTATGTATATATGTAAAAACTTTACCCATAGAGGGCCAGTCAGGTGGTGTAGAGGTTAAGGCAACTGGATCCCACATGGCCAACTACTTAGTCTGAGTCCCCGACCTGCTGACCTGTGAAACACACCAGGTGTGTGTGCACATGTGCCCAAAGTCTCGCGAGAAGAGTGAAGAAGGGATTATGAACTCCCATGGAGTCCTGGACCTGACGGCTAAAAACTTACCCTGGGTGAGTGCGCGCATGCCTCAAATCCCAAGAAAGAAGGAGAAGGGATTGTAGCGTGGCCATCCTCCTGGGGTGTGTGTGTGTGTGTGTGATTTCTCACTTTCTGTCTGTCTTTCTAACAAGCGTAAGTGACCTATAGCAGAAATCTGTCTTTAAAAAAAGCAAACCTGACAGATCCACCAGCCTATGAAATGGAAGGCAAGAAGCAGCTCTTTATACACGGGTGGTAGCCCTCCTTCAAATTCTTATTATGACGAATTTGTCTGTTTCTATCGGGATGATCATCATGTTATCATATATTTTTTAAAAACCTCTTATTTAAATTAATATTTCATTATCCTACTTGTAAAAGATACATTCTCTTGTTTGCTATTCTTATTTTACTTTTTTTATGGAGCTGTTCTAACCTCCATGAAATATAATCAAACTCATCGATCTTTTCCTTTTTAATGTGAAAGTTTCTTCCCCGACTGAACCACCACAGTTGCAGCCATGCCACAAGCCTTTCTCTTCCATCCTTCGCCTGGGATTTTGGTCACACATGCACATGCACTCGGTGTGATTTTCAAGCCAATGATTCCAGGATTCAAAATGTGGCCGGCCGTGTAGGAGTCAAACACCTTAGCCACTATGCCACCTGCTTGGTCCCTGCCTGGCCTTTTTATTTTTCTAACTTATCTATTAGTGTTTGATATTAAGTAAGACTCTAGTTTTTTTCTTTTTTTCTAGTGAATGATCTAGCATTGCTTGTTGATAATCAGCTCCTGTCCACAACCCTCCCCTCTTTTTCCCCATAATAGGGTGTATTCACTTAATGGAGAGACGGCGAGAGGGAGAGAGGGAACATGAGAAATCACCCCTCAGTGGGGATGGCCACACCACAATTCCTTCTCCTCCATTCTCCTCTCAGGATTTCGGGATGCATGCACGTGCACCTGACGTGATTCTCAAGCCGCTGGGTCCAGGACTCGAACCTTAGAGTGGGCCATGTGGGATCTAGTGCTTTAGCCATCATGCTGCCTGCTGGCCCCATCTGTCTATGCTTTTATGTTATTTCTTAGTTTATCTCTTGCAAAAGGTAAGCAATTAGATCCTTTTGATTTTTGGAGAGACTTTTGCTATAGAACACATGCACTCACCAGAAAGAGACAGAGAGAGAGAGACAGAAAGCAAGAAATCACCCCCCAGGGGGATGGCCACACCGCAATCCCTTCTCCTCCATTCTCCTCTCAGGATCTTGGGCACACACGCACACGCACCCAGCGTGAATTTAAGCCACCAGGTCTGGGACTCAAACGGCGGTCGACTACATGGGAGTCCAGCAACACAGCCATTACGCTAACTGCTGGTCCCACAGTTAGATCTTTGAGAGGATATTTGGTGATATTTTTAAGAAGAGATGCTCAAAGCATTGACATTAGTGTTATGAATAATATTGGCCTGTATATTTCTATTTCTGTGTCATTTACCGTTTGTTCTCTCACTATATGTTGTGTGTGTGAAACTTTTGCAGTGATTTGAAAGATTTATTAGATTTTTTTTAAGACAGATTTGTGCCGTAGGGCACATGTGCTCACTGTAGAGATAGAGACAGAGAGACAGAAAGTGAGAAATCTCCCCCTCCCCCCCCCAGGGAGGAAGGCCACACCACAATCCTTTCTCCTCCATTTTCCCCTTGGGATTTTGGGCACACATGCCCAGTGTGAGTTTTAAGCTGCCCGGTCTGGGACTCGAACTGCGGACAACTACATGAGAGTCCAGCGATGTAACCATTCCACCATCTGCTGGTCTCGATTTATTCCATTTTTATCTCTACTTGGTTTAAGTTAATAAATCAATTAGGCTTCATTAATTAATTGGTACTTGAGACTACATTTTCCAAAATGTCCCTCTTGTGAATAATGAGTAAGTTCGAATGGCATTATTCATACCTGGTTCCTTTTCGCATTTATTTCTCCAGTTCATAATTCAGCTTAAATTACAACGTCCTTATTACGTAATCATCTCCATATAGCTCTTCCTTTTTAAAATTTACTTTGGCTTTCGCGTTGGCTAGTATAACATAACCTCATTTTTAATGCACTCAGTGCTACACGTTTAACTGGCTTCAACCTGGCTCCGTTGGCGATAATAATTTTGATATATTTCCTGGTTGGAAAAGTACCCATGGTAATTTTCAGAGAGAGAGAGAGAGAGTAGGCGAGGGCTCAGACCTGCTAGGGCTTTCGAAAACCTGACCCTGGGCTCCCATTGTGCCGATGTGAATGTAGAGGGGACGGGGGTCACTAGAGGCGAGGGCAGGGGGCAGCTGGGCGTGGCTGAGCAGCTTGCTCTGGGCCTGCCTGTGGCTCTGAGGCCCGTGTGCTCCTTGAAGCACTCCGACCTGGCGGCTGGCCTGTCCTCAGCCCTCTGAGCCTGAACCATGCCCTGCTGCCTTCCCTTCAACCCCAGGCCAGCCTGGCACTGCAGGTGCTGCAGGCTCAGGCTGTAGCTTGGACCTTCTTCTCCCTGCTCTTGAGCCCTGGGGGGGCCTCCATTTCGCTGCTGAAAAAGGAAGGCGTGAACTCCAGCAAGGCTCCCCAAAGGGTAGTGACAGACTGTATCACTGGGGGAGTTGAGAGACCTGCGGTTCCCCTAGACCGCACCAGCGCAGATGTGGAGTTGACAGTTCAGGAAGGGCACTGGACTCTGCCCCCCCCCCCCCCTTT